TCGGGTTCAAAGGAACCCCAACGCCTGGGTTCCAAGGAACCCAGGAACCCATGACCCCAATGGAAAGACAATGGGAAGGAGAAAGGGAAAAAAAAAAAATGAAAAGAGTTTTTTAAGTTTGTTTTTTGTCATATTAATATTTTTTACCATATTATTTTTTTTTTCCATATCACTGTTGTTTGCCATGGTGTCTTCCACGTATTTTGACATGTCACAGTGTTACCGTAAATTAATAGGACACGTCATGCGATTTTTAACGGAAGAACCAAGTTGGGGTTAAAATGATAAACAGTAAGGATCAAGTCAAAAATTTTTTGAGTTGAAGGACTCAATCAGAGATCTGTACAATAGTTAAGAGACAAAAAAAAAATTTAACCTTTAATTTATTTACTTTTCATTGGTTTAGTAAGTTCATATGAGCAGTGCTAGGGGCCCCCGCCTCTTAAGAGGTGAGTGCCCCTAGTGCCGCTCAAGTTGATATTTGCTTTTCCACAGAAAAGATTATTAATTTATGGTTCTCCTTTTCTAGGGATGAGAGCTTGCTTGTCTATTTGTCCAGTACACATACACAAGTTTCCACTTTCTCTAGAAAAATCACTGACTTAGGTCTGATTGAAATGACAAGTCAGCCCCGTGATCGTGTTTTGGCTTTTCAAGGCAAGAGCTTACGTACGGGTCCACATACTTTTAAAGGTAATTTCCTTTTTTTTTTTTTTTTTTTAATTTTTTATATGATTGTTTTTTTTTTATATGATTGTTTGTCAATAGATTATCTAAAATGCAAGTTGTTGCGAGAGATTTTTGGGTAACTGATTTTTTTTTTTGTTATATGATTATTTACCAACAAATTATCCAAATTACAGATTGTTGTGAGGGATTTTTGGACAACTGGGTTCGATGGAACCTATTTGCTGGGTTACATCGAACCCAGATCTGCTGGGTTCCGTCGAGCTCAGCTCTACTTTTTTTTTTTTTGTTATATGTTTATTTGCCAAGAGATTATCCAAATTGTAGGTTATTGTGAGCGATTTTTAAGTATTATCTAAATGATTTCAATCTTAAAAATGAAAAGAACATCGTCGTTGAAGAACAGAAGCAGTAACCGATGGGCAAAGAAGCAATTCTTAGTGGTAATGTGGGACCCATTTGGACGGATTTAGCGCGTTTTGATCACGATAGCATGACATGGCAAAAGTTTTGTGCATATCATCACTTTTTTAAATTTTGCTCTCTACATCATCAAAAAAATATAAAAAATGCCACATATGCAGAGTTAACGGTCCAAATTAACAGAAAGAGTAACGGAGTACATTTCGTATAGTTAAGGGATAAAAAAAGTATAAAAATTTATTAAGAGACCAAAAATATACATTTCATAAAATTGAAGGACTAAATTTAACATTTAACCTTCCCTTTTTTCGCAGTCAATATTGAAAAAATGAAAAAGAGCCTTATTTGTCTGTCGGCTGTCTTTGTGGCCGTCAATATTGAAAAAATGGAAAAGAGCCTTATTCGGGATAAATTTAATGTTAAAAAATGAGAATTATTTTTAAATTTATTTAGTATAGAAATTAAAATTTAATAAATAATAAATAACAGATAATAAAAGTAGGTAACAAGTTATGATTAATAGATAATAGTTAATGAATAATGAAAAATGAATAATGGATAGTCAATAATAAATTTATTTGTTTAGTTATATAATAATTAGTTGTTATTTAATATATAAATTATTTTTAATTAGTCAATTTAAATAAGTTAAAAAATAGAGTTATTTTCGAGTAGATGGAGGAATAAAATAAAATAAATTTATTGTAGAAACTTGAAGGTGTCAAAAAAAATTTATTGTAGGAACTTAAAAGGAGCCCCAAAAAAAATTAAAGTTAAGGATTAGCAAGGAAATTTCTTTAATTGAGGGACTAATAAGAGACTATAAAAAAGGTAAGGGACTTAAAAAGCAGTCTCAACCGTAGCTTTATTATTATTTCTTTTGCAAATGAGGAATATCCCACCACTAGGGCTGGCCACGTTGCCAGTCTTGTCGTGGCAACCGTCCAACCGAACGGTTTGGGCCAGTAATGGTTGCCATACGGTAGGCCTAAATTTACCGTTTGGGCCATTTGTTGAGTAATGGTGATGAGGCCCATTGTCAATTTTACCGCATGGCTCTCCAGATCGAACCATGCCGCAATTTTTTTTCTTTATTTAATGATAATGGCATTTTTGTAATACTTTGCACAGCAACCGCACTATAAATATTATCCATGGCGATGTGCTTTTAGTTCTGTATATTTTCTTTAATTTTGATATTATTTTTTATTATCATTATTATTAATTTAATCAGACTTTCTATTTATTATAAAAAAATGGGGCTTTTAGCTTGTCACATCAGTATCAAGAAAAGACGCGATGTGCAGAGCACATTTGATAATGCTTCAGACGAAGTGAATTCAATGCAATTATTCACGAGGGATTGGATCAAGTATTAAGTGATTTGTTTTAGTTTAAGTAAGATCTCGGGTTCGAAATCTTGTGTACACAGTAGTCTCCACTAAAAGATTCAACCACCATTTTCAAGTGCGCGACGTGAGTCGAGTCCAAATTAATCGGGGGGAATCCCCATATACAGGAAATCAAAAAAAAAAAGGAATTCAGTGCAATCAATTTTTTTATTTTTTTAACAGGAAGAATTTCCAGGGCGCTGCAAGAGTAAGGCCCAAAAATAAAATTCAGATCATTATATTTAGGGCTTGTGAAAAATTAAGATTCATTGGCAGTCTTGACAAAATAAAGGTAATCCATCCATCCATCCATCAAATGATTCTTACGGGGGTTACACCTGATGAGGACCACTTGATAAATAGTTCTCATCTTGTTAAGACTGCCCTGCAGTACTGACTTTCTGTTTCCTGTTATATTTAATCACATTTTTAAAGAGTGGTAACTAAGCCATCAAAAGTTGGACGAATTCAGTGCAATCATTTTGTTACAAGAAAATGAAGAAGGAACCATGGATATGATGTGTAGAGCTTGAGAGTAGGGCTGGGCATTTTTTAATCGAACCGATTTTTTATCTGAAAACCGAACTAAAAAAATGAATTCGGTTCGGTTTCAATGGTTTTTGGTTTTATTTTTTTGGTTTTAATATTAATCAAATATATTTTAGTTCGGTTTCGGTTGAGTCTCTCAAAAATCGAAAACCAAAAATAAACCGAAAATAAGTCATTTATATGATAAAATATAATAAAATATGATAAAATATGATAAAATATGATTAAAATATATGATAAAATATAATATATTATTAGAAAAATAATTAATTATTATTTATTATCAAAAACCGAAACCGAACCAATTTAAAACCGATTTATTGATAACCGAACCGAT